CAAACTTCTCTAAACATCTTCAGATTTCGCGGGAGGAACCAACTTCGTAATCCTAGCCATCATCACCTTGATCTTCTCCGGTCACCATGACACCCTCAACGCTCGCCAAATCGTATGCAGCATCTTCATCATGCTCTGGGGCGCCCGCCTCTCTGGCTTCCTCCTCTTCCGCATCCTCAAGACTGGCAAAGATGATCGGTTTGACGATAAACGAGATAAATTCTTTCCCTTTCTCGGATTCTGGATCTTCCAGATGCTGTGGGTCTGGACTGTCTCCCTGCCCGTCACCATCCTCAACTCCCCCAATGTGAAGGCATACGCGCAGCCGAGTTTTGGCACAGGCAGAGATATTGCTGGTGTGATTTTGTTCGGCATTGGACTGATCATGGAGAGCGTTTCTGATGTGCAAAAATACTTGTTCAAGGCGAGACAGAGCGACAAGAGTGCTATTTGCGACAAGGGGTTCTTCAATTGGACGAGACATCCGAATTACTTTGGGGAGATTATCATCCAGTTTGGTTAGTCCCCCTCCCCAACTACTTTACCTGATCAAGTTTTAAATACGAGGCCAATCAACCCCAGGAATCTTCATGATCGCCGTCTCACCCGCAGCCAACGGCTATGTTCACGGCGGCGCTTACAAAGCTCTCTACGCCTCCATCCTCGGGCCTTTCTTCCTCACCATCCTTCTCATGTTCGTATCGGGCCTGACGTTGCAAGAACGTCCCGGCGCCAAGAAACGCTACGAGAAAGACAACCACTGGGACGAGTACTCGCGGTACTTGAACCGCACGAGTATCCTTATTCCGTTTCCGCCGATGCTGTATGAGAAGCTACCTACGATCATCAAGCGAACGGTGCTTTTGGAGTTTCCCATCTACGTGTTTGATCCGAAAAAGCATTCGGATATGAGTAAAGGGCAAGCGACAGCGGAAGAGGGAGCGAACAAGAAGAGCACGGATCAGAGACAGAGTGGCGATCAACTCGTCGGCGAGAGTTCGCGGAGAGAGTAAATTCCTGGAAGAAACTAACGATCGGATGAGCGTAAGATGGGAAATGTAATGTCAAGAGTAGTGTCCTATGTTACCTACCTACCTACCTAATTAGCTACCTAATCAATGGATGAATGAAGAGTGCAAACTCACTACCTCTTACTTATCCGAGCCTAGAAACTAGAAATCTAAATATCGTCCCTCACCCTTCAAGTAAAAAGCCACGTAAAACAAGCCTCGATATATATATATGTGTGTGTGTGTGTGTGTGTGTGTCAGGACCTAGAATTCAGTTGATATGTATGATCTGTGGTTGGGGTTTTGGGTTGATTGAAAGAAGATGGAGGAGGAGGAGGAGGAGGAGTAGGAGAGGTTGTCTTGGGCCTGGACCGACTGATGCAAAGACGATGGCATATGTGTAGAGAACATAATTTGATAGTGTAAACTTATTAGGTTCACACTATGTTTCAATCATAGTGGGAGTTGACCTCACAAATATTGGGGACTTTTTTGAAAAGAAGATATCCCGCGAAAATAATCTGTCCCGCGTCGCAGCGAATGTTTTTTCTTTTAACATTCTTATATTCTATTACGAGCTTGTTGATAAAAAAATTAATATTTTATCAATATACGATTTCGCAGATTTTTTAGGCCCCAAAAGTTGCGAGGTCAGTTCCCACTATTATATGCATATGCATATGCGGGAGGTGAATACGTATATTGTTTTTGAGCGGGTGATGCTTACAGAGTTGGCGGGTTCCTGGAGGGAAAACAATCTGTATGAAAGAGCAGGTGGACATATGGTAGATGCGCAATTGTTCTTTGGAGAAAATGAAAGATAGGTAAATGAAAAGTAACAAAAATGTCAGGTCATTTGCGTTATTTTGTTTCGAAACAATAGCAGGTCCGCGTCTATTGAATCTCCGTACTATGTAGTATTTTCCGGGGAAGCGCTTAAGCTTCACGCTAAGGCCGACGACGACGACCGACGACCAGCAAGGCTGGCCGCCGAAGTATCTGGTTGAACCGTCCCAACTTGACATCGACCAACTATCTATCCCCAATTCAACTATTCGACTTCACCCTCTCACCGAATTCCGTCCTTCACTTCTACATTCGCTACAACTTTGATATCTTTGACAACGCCGACGACTCCGAGCCTCCAACCTCTCCATTGATCCAAACCCCTTCAACCCGATCCAACTAATCAACCGGCGCAACCGCTACGATGGAAGCCAAAGAAGTCAGCACGCGTATCCACGCGCTACAAAAAGCCCTCGCAGAAAAGCAGCCCGCGTCAGTCGTCCTCTCTATGCTGGAGACTCTGAAGAAAGAAGTCGTGCCGACCGAGGAGCTACTCAGAGTATGTTGATTCTGATGTTGATCCTATCGCGCATTCCTCATTGGGAATCCTGTCGTCTATCTCTCGCTCTCCTTTTCCCGCTTTTCTTCCCTCTGGCTACTTATCTAACAAATGCGCGCGCTCTCTCTCCCTCTTACAGAACACCAAAGCCGGCATCATCATCTCGAAGCAAAAGACCAACCCTAACAAGGATGTCGCAAAGCTCGCCTCGGAGATCGTGCAGAAGTGGAAGCAGATTGTGCAGTCCGGCCAGTCCAAGAAGAAAATTTCTAGCACCCCATCCAACATACCCGCCATCTCCTCCCCGCCTAAGAACGCCGCCTCCTCTCCCGCGCACCCCAACGATGCCAAAGGCTCCTTCAAAGGCGATATCACAAAGCGGCGCTGGGAGACGGAGAAGGTGGATGTCAAGCGCACTGGAACCCCTTCTCGCGACGCCTGCATCGGCCTCCTGTACAACGGTCTGGCGTTCATGTCCACCGAGCCCAGCAGCACCATCATGGTCCGCGCCATCGAGGTCGAGAAAGCAGCCTTCGACGCCTTCAAGGGTGACACGCCCGAGTACCGCTCCAAGCTGCGCTCGCTCTTCCAGAATCTCAAGGCCATCTCCAACCGCGAGCTCGCGCCTGCAGTCATGTCCGGCGAGATCCCACCCGAGAAGTTCGTCGTCATGTCCCATGAAGAGCTGAAGAGCAGCGAGCGCAGGAAGGAGGACGAGAAGCTGCAGAAGGACAACATGAAGAAGGCCCAGGTGCCCATGGCCGAGAAGAGTATCAGCGATGCGCTCAAGTGCGGGAAGTGCGGCCAGAAGAAGGTCAGCTACAGCCAGGCCCAGACGCGGAGTGCCGACGAGCCTATGACGACCTTTTGCGAGTGCACGGTGTGCGGAAACCGCTGGAAGGTATGATGTCCCTCCCCTCTCCACTCCTCTCCGTTCCATCGCCCCCAAGGTCCCAAATATTCGGAAATGCTGACCAGGAAATCTAGTTCTCTTGAGCTTTGGGCGCGAGGACCTACCTGCCTACGGGCCGGGAAACTTTTCACTTCTCACATTGTGCCTTTTCTATGGATGGGCTCCTTTCTTCACGGATGGTTTGGGGGTTTTCGGGACACGACTCTTTAGCATTTGGGGGTTTTCCTTGGCGGTAACGAAATAACCATGAGCAACGGTTTTTTTTCACCCCTTCTTAATTTTCAGCTCTGCGCTTCAGAAGGGCGTGTTATGCAAACACACAATACCCCATGAGGCGTGAGACTTGGCATTAATTTGCAGAGTCTGGTTCTCGTAGGCATGGATACATAGCTCAGAGGATAATAGAACGTCTCAAACATACATACAGAATGGGTCTCCGTTTAGTGTGATTGCCGAAAATACATCCTTTGGCGTTTTCAGACACGTCTCCTCATTGCCTGACTTCTCTGCGAAAACCCCTTCTACCCGGTGAATTCTCCATACGCCTGCCATCCTTCTCCCAATGCAGCCAGCCCCGAGCGCCAATTCCTATCCCATCACAGGCCTGTTTCAAATCACCTCCTGCTCCCCCCAGCAGCATTAACATTACTGGCATGCGCCAACAAGAACTTACAGCACGTCAACGTGAACTTGCACGCCCGGCTCCACGCGTCATCTTGCGCAATCCCCAGCTTGATGCTCACGTCCCCAATCCTCTCTCCCTCGATCCTATACGGCAGCGCCAGCCCCCTGCCTCCTGCTTCCCCACCCCTTGCGCTCTCTTGCTCGACAAACGCGCCGAGCTGCCGCAGGCATTCGAGGAATGCAACCATGGCGACGTCGAAGCGGCGGTGCATGAACGTTAGACCGAGGGGCATGTCACCTGAGGAATATAGCTCGAGGATGTGCCGCTTGGGTGGCCGGGTCGATGTGCGCGAGCTGCTGGGGGCGAAGATCTCGTGCTTGATTATGCGAGACGTTGATCCCATGGCTTGGAGCTCGTAGTTTTGGAATTTGAAGCCAAGTCTGTCGGCGACTGTTTGTAGCAGTAGCACTGTGTGGCCCCAGGCGGCGTTTATCTCTGGCCAGTCGACAGGTACGTTCGAGAGACGGCCTAAGCGTAGGCCGTTAATAGTCCCGAACTTCCCGTCGTGGGATATGCAGAAGGTGTCGTTGTAAACATTTGTACGTTGCAGTTTCTCAAGGAGTTGGGTGTCGTGGTCATATTGGAGGTTCACGCTATCTCGCACGTTTTGGAACTCGGCCAGCTTCATAGCGAAATCGTTCCGAGAACGCCAGAAATCCTCTTCTTCGATGTCCAGGGCTCGAGCTTCTTCTTCAAGAGCGGCGATCTCTTCGTCCACGGCTGCCTTCTCGGCTTCAAGCTTTCTGAGCTCGGCGATAGCTTCTTGCTCCTCCTTACGAGCTTTGGCCAGGGCGACCTGGGATTCATTTATTTCTTCCTCTGTTGGTGCTGATGCGTTGACTTGTTTGAGGAAGCCTACGTAGGCATCTCGTTCTTTTGTAGCAGCTTCCAGCCGTTGTTGCAGGCCTGAGACTAAGAGATCCGTACACTCTGTACATACTGGATGGTCAATATCTGATCTTGCAGATAGTATCTCAAAGAGTCTAGAGGCTCTCTCCATATCCTGGGACATGGCCTTCCCGCGATCCTGTGCCCCGTCCAAACCTGTTTTGCTCTCGTATAGTTGGCTTTTGGGTTTCGTGTTTTCGGGCGGTTTGACTGTAGCTGGAGGCACCACTTGTGACTCTGTGAGCATAACGAACGACATAGCTGGGTTGCCGAGTCCGCTCCGTGTGATATCGGAGGAGGTATGGTCGCTTCTGCGCGGAGAGCCTATAGTTCGTTTAAAGACTGGGGAGCCGGCATTCTGAGATACTCGGTCATAGAGCTGTTTGCGCTCTTGAGGATATGCGGGTCGGGAGGAGGGAATGTTTCTAAGTTGCTGTGGTGAAGAGGCGCCTGAAGGCATCAGATAAAGGCTTAGGAGGAAAGGCGAAGAAGTAGGTAAGCCGCATACCAACTAACAAGTCAAACGCCGCTGGGTTGAGATCCTCTAAAGAGCTGTCCAGCTTCAAAGGAGTCCGGCATTTTTGGCAATACATCTTGATTGAGAAAGGATAATGTTCTTTCTCTTCAAGGCGGAGGATGAAGGCGGAGGTGAAGGCGTTCTTGTCGCATTTGCATTATCGAAGCTTTGAAGTTGATGTCAAAGTCCAACTCAATCTCCAGACATGAAGAGTATATGCGGAGACAAATATATCTAGAGTCTGGATCAGCGGTATGCCAAGCTTTACCGAAGAGGGCGCGTAAAGCCCCGCGCTAGTATTTATGGGGTAGTAAAATAACCCTCTACTCTACGCGCCCAGACGCGTGTTTCTGCAAATCCATATCGCATTCATCACTATTCCATCCCTCCATCCCTCCATCCCACCTCCTCTGTCCGGCTTGAGATGCGGATAGAAATTGACCATGGAGCCCTTCCCTAAGCGACAGCGATTATATGCCCTAGCCAGGCCCGAACCCCCTCGGACCTTCGAGGACCATGATGCATATTACGATGAGCTAGGAGACGACATACTCGAGGATGAAGATTATTATAGCGAGGAAGAGCCAGGACAGGTAGAACAATACAACCCAGATGCAGAACTACAGCAGAAGAGAGCGCAGCTCGATCACAAACTGAAATCAACGTTTGAGTCTATCTTTGAGAAATACGAGAGGGACTTCGACGGGGTTGGCGATGAGATTGACCTTGAGACGGGAGAGATTGTAATCAACAATGGGCATTTGTTGCAGATGATGGACGAGCAAGATGCTGGAGATCTGGGTGTTTCGCCGCGAGCATTGACAGGCTACTCGGAGGACTCCGGCGAGCCTCCCAGCGGCTCTTTGGGCGAGACTGATATGATGGATATGGATGAAGAAGAGGATGAGGACGAGGAAGAGGAAGCTGAAGAAGAGGAATATGAGGAGGAGAGCGAGGAAGTAGAGGAGGATGGTATGATGGAAGACGACTTAATCCTGCGTGGCTTTGTGCAGGCCAACCGATTCCAGCAACTCTCACCGGGACTGGGAATATCGGATGCGCCAATTACTCTACCGAAGGGACGGCGACGAGAAACTACTTCTCGACTAGCTCGAAAAAATAAACTCCCTTCCCGTGACGATATATTGACACAATTTGGACCTCAATTGGGACCTCAAATCGTGGAGTACGTCTCGCAGCAGCATGCACAGAAAGAAAGTCACGCGGAACCAGCCTGGCGAGCCCTTGAGCTTCCGAAGAAGTTGTCGGTCGCAAGAAATATCGAGCCTGCTTGGAGATTCCCCATGATCCCATCAACAGGTCCTCCGAAGCTAGTGGAACCAGCATGGCGGGTGCCCGATCTACCATCAGCTGCGCCCATCGGCAGAAAACCAGCACAGAACCCAGCTATGATTGCCTCAGGAGAGGAACAATCCCAAAGATCTGAAGCATCTGCATCCATTTGGGCACTAGCAAGACCTCCTGCTAGGAAAAGACTCGATGGACGTGACAGTAATGTTTTGTCCAAAGGAGAAAGCGCGGCTCAAAAACAGTCATTTAGACCTCGAATCTCTGATTCTGTCATACATTCAAGGACATTTGGACGAGCCCAGCAAGCTCAAAAGGCCAGGTCCGATTCACCGAGAAAGAAAAGGACTGCCTTCACAGCTGAGGAAGATGATGCGATGTTGAAATGGGTGTCAAAGTCACGCAGACTAGGTCTTGGACTTCGCTGGCGAGAGTTCGCATCTGAACACCCTCAACACTCGGCCAAGTCTTGGAGTGGACGATATACTACGCAGTACACATATCTCTCAACCAATGATATCGAAGAGACCGAAGCATCTGAGCTATCGACTGAAGAAATGGGCTATCAACCTCCCCCCAGTTTTAATAGTCAGAAGCCCGGATACGATGTCGCCCCAGCACCCCGTGAACGGCCAGTTCGAGTTCGAAAACCAGCGCAAACAGACCCGCAAATTTTGAGCTGGAACGAGGCTGTAGACTCGATTGAGAACCTGGATCCTGTCCTGCATGCTGGCATCATGGAAGATGCGAGAAATGGTAATCAGCGACTGCCACAATTCTCTTCTTCGACTAGACGAGAACCTCGTTTGATGCAGGCCGAGCGACAATCCACCGGGTCGATTCAATTGCAAGGAAACACTCCGCCGGTAGATAGGCAGAACGCATCCCTCGACAATGTCCTTACCAGCTCATCTTTGGCTGTCGAGCTCACTCCTGAGCAGGAAGATGCACTGATACCCGGCGCACCATGCCCACACAAGGACTGTCGACTCTACCCCAGCATATTTTATAAACTTCAACGGCGCGAAAACGAAGACCTGTCGGAAATGTGCTTGCATTTGTTCAGAGTACACCATACCACGCCCTTCCCATGTGAAGAGGTTAACTGCATGCGAAAGGGCGAGCAGGGCTATTTTATACCGCTAGACTTGGTCAGGCACGTGAGACTCGCACACAAGACCATTTCTGCTCTACAACGACTACGAGGCCGCGTTGATTCAGATTTGCTTGAGCAGCAAGTAGCACTTGCAAACGATTCCCTATCAAAGAGTGATTCGCCCCCTGGAATACCTATCGATCAACCCAAATATTCCGACTTCACGTCTCTGCAACAGAGACCTGCACGGAATCCTTCGAGTAGCCAGCCGCTGTCAGGCTATGATCCGGATCGAACTTTAACTCCTCGAGGTATAGCTGCAACATCGACATTCACCCCGCAGACTAGCGTCTCATCGTTGAAAGTCCACCGTTCATCTGCAGAATCCACGGCACTGCGAGATGTGAGCAACGCTCCTGATAGGGTGATAATGGACTCGCAAATAGGCAGTTCCTCGCAACTGGCAGCAAGCAGCCAGTCTGAGATGGAACCAAAGACGTTGAGGAGGGTTTCTGATGAATCATTGCCGCGACCCTTGTGTGGGATACCCAGTAGAAGATCATTGAACTCCAAAGCTGCAACCGAGAACATTCCCCCTAGTCCTCAAACGGCTACCGGTAGCTCAATCGAGCGTCCCAACCCCGCCGATGGATCAAGAAGCACTTCTTCTGGTAACTTTGGGGGCCGCCTGGTTCACGATTTGACTCACTCCAGCCCGGGCTCGAGCCCGCCGATGATAGAAGCCCCACCAAACGTCTCGATGTATTCGTCGAAGATAGGGAGTTCTCAAGATCCTGCGGAGTCATCTCTCGGAGCGATTGCATCTTCAAGCAAGCCTCCGTTGAAGAAGGCCCCTAACCCTGTTGTCCTGACCCTCACTCGTAATGTGGTAGATTCGACTTACGACTTTTCGGACGAGGAGACGGCTGGAGAGTATGCAGCCGCCCCTGCGCTGACCTCGTCTGTGGCAACAGCCTTGCCAAAAAACCATGCGAAAGTACTTACGGAGCCGCTAATCGCGAGGGCTTCTGTTAGGACGAAGCCAGTGGTTGAAAACCATATTGACAAACAAACACATGCTATTTCGACACCTATAGTTGCAATTCAAGCTGCTTCCAATCCCAAGTCAAAGCCAAAGGCGTCCAAGAACTTTACCACCAAGCCGACTCTTGCAATAACAGCTGCCAAAAAGCCAGCCAAGTCAATATGGGCTATGCCAGGCAGAAAATCTGTTGCAAATAAGCCTCATGCAACGCCGGCTGCGAAGATTACTCGCCCAAGGGCTCATTCCGAAGGTATTGACGAACTGAGCATGGGAGTAGATGACTACGTCTTATTGTCTTCAGGATCAATGGCGAATCCTTTACCGGTGCCGCAACTGGGCATTAAGCATGAAGCCAACACAGATTCACCGGCGATGAATTCTGTTCCCGCAGCCAAGAAGCGAAAGTTCGATACTTTCCGCAAGGATGTATCAGACGGGCAAATTGCCGCTGATACGCCGGTACAACCTACCCAAGCCGCTGGTATACAAGTTGTGCCGGATGCAGGACAGCCTTCTATCAAGACTGAAGACGAGCCTCCGCTCCCCGCGGCTCGCCTCATCCTCCCCAAGCGCAGAGGCAGACCCCCGAAACAGAAACCCGAGGTCGCAGCGGGCACCTCATCGTCTCAAATTCGCTCCCCACTCACCGGTCTCTCGATTCCCATCCGTACCAGTACACCTCTCCTCGATCTCACGCCCGCCCGCAACAGACGCGCAAACGCTGAGCGCATGAGAGAAATCGAAGACTCGGAGGCTGAAGCGTCGAGTCCGGAGTCTCCGCTGCCGAGACCGAAACGAACCTCGAGCGGGCAGGCGCAGATGGGGAATTTTAAACCGGGTGCCCAGAGGCGGTGGAACGCCGATTCGCTGAGGGCGGAGGGTGTAGCGGTGTTGGTCAAGACGCCTGGTGGGACGATGAGAAAGTGTGGTGTGGATAGGTTTGAGTGTGGCAGGTCGTTTTGTTTTCGGTGCTCGAGCGGGGAAAGTAGGAAGGTAGTGGCGGCGTAGGGCTGTGATTGGATTTTTGTAAGATCAAGGGTTGACTCGTGCTTGAAAAGATAATTGGGATTGGGGGTTTGGAATCGGAATTTGTCTCCTGATGGGAATGGGCATGGGCATGGGCAAGGGATAGGGATAGGGATAAGGACAGGGAGAGGTTGATAGGATGATAGGTTGATACCCGGCATTTCACAAATTCACTCACGTCTTACGTTGACGATGGGCGCGATGACAACGCCCTTGCTATCCCTCCCTCCCTATGCTTTTGTTCCTCTCTCCAATCTTTTCGAACTTTATATGCATCGTCATTAAACCGTACCCAACTTCAAATCAGCTCCAGCCCCCCCCNCCNCCACCTCNCNCACACACTACACGTACGTACGTACGTACGTACGTACGTACGTACGTACG